TACCCAAATGGGTGGATGAGGCATTTCAGAGAGCAGAGTTGGATGGGTGCCCATGGTGAAGGTACAGGCTGAATAAATATGGTAGCATCCTTTGGTTTGGTGACAAGATCTGACTTTGAAAACAAATATCCATACTTCAACTACTTTTGTTGCTGTAATAGATGATAGTAATTTTATAAAATGGATGAATGAAGGCTTTTATAATCCTTGATTATCTTTTAAAAATTGCACTTGTTTATTTATTGTGTGAGTGTGTTATGTGTGTATATGTGTGTGTGTGTGTGTGTGTTTGTGTATGTGTGTGTGTGTGTGTGGTGCATATGTATGCCATAGCCCATGAGTGGGGATCAGAGGACAATGATGGGAATAAATTCTCTCTTACCTTGTGGGCACAGGGGATTAAACTCAGGTCATCAGGCTTGGTGACAAGTGCTTTTGCCAATTGAGCCATTTAACCAGCCTTGGATTATTTTTTAAATACTATTTATCCAAAGACATATTAAAAAAAATAAGACTAGAGAGATGGCTCAGGGGTTGAGAGCACTTTTTGATCTCACAGAGGATGTGATGGTTTTAGTGAGAACGGCTCCACAGGCTCATGTGTTTGAATGCTTGGTTCCCAAGTGGACCTCTCTGAGAAGGATTAGGAGGTGTGGCCTTGTTGGAGAAGATGTATTACTGGGAGTGGGCTTTGGGATTTTAAAAGCCCATGTCAAGCCTCTCTCTCTCTCTCTCTCTCTCTCTCTCTCTCTCTCTCTCTCTCTCTGCTTGAAGCCTGCTGATTAGGATGTGAAGTCCTCAGGTACTGCTCTGGCACCATGCCAGTCTGCTGCCTACCTGCCAAGATGATCACGGGTGAACCCTCTAAAATTGTCAGCAAGCCTCCAATTAAATGCTTTCTTTTATAAGAGCTGCCTTGGTCATGGTGTCTCCTCACAGCAATAGAACACTATGACAGGGGACCTGAATTTGGTTACTGGCATCTACATTGTGACTCAAAACCACCCATAGCTCCAGTTTTAGGGAAGTCTGAAGCTTTCTTTTGACCTCCATATGCACTAGGTCTGCATATAATATGCATACATACATGCAAGAAAAATACTCATGCAATTAAAAAAATTTAAAGATACACAAAATATACAACTCATTTTAGTTTTTAACCCTTGCCTTTCTCCCTCTTTCCTTCTTTGCCCCACTCCTCTCTCCTGCCTTTTCCCTTTATGGCTTTAATCAGGATCTGAAGTCCACCCCGTCTCAGCCTCCTGAATGCTGGGATTATAGGAGAGCACCCTACCACCATGCTTAGTTTTCCAATATAATAATTATTTTTCTCAGGAAAAAGAAAGACTGAGCATCATTCAGATCAGAAGAGGCAGGGGTGTGAGCATGTCTTGACCTTGGCTATGAGGCCAAACCCTGTCCTTGCTCTACTCAAAGGATGGCTTTTGTTTTTGTGTTCACCTGGCTTAGTTTTATCAGGGTTGAACTTAGTGCCTGTGCGGAGCCACTTAGTCTGAAGTCCTAGAAGGAAATGGCCCAGAAATCCTGCCAGTTTCCTGTGTGAAGGATTTGTTTGCTGGCTTGAACATTTTTTTCTGTCACTATCATTGGCCCTTTCAGAACATTTGTGCGTGTGTGTGTGTGTTGGGTTCATAACATGGTTTCTTCATCATGATTCAGCAATATGTTTTACTTTCTTGAAGCCCACTTGAGAATAGAGAGTCTTTCATGATAATGTTAGGGTAACTGCCTACACTGGACTTCCTGATGGTATTTGATGACCCAAGTTGTGGAGCTGGGATTATCTGGCTTCTGACCTGCCTTTATATTTTCTTTGTCTAAAGTACTTTAAAAACTCACATCAGGAATCCCGTGTGAATATCCGGATTATTAGAGCACAGACAGGGAGTCCTCTCTTTCTACAACAGGGTGCCATTACAGACGACAGCTGTATGCATAAAACAGGTCTGCCAGCCCAGCCAGGCTGGGAGCCCCACTGGCTCAGTGTGGAGAGAGCGATGTTCCTGTGCTTGCTCCCTCGCCTGCTCATCTGCTGCTGCTGTAGCTGCACTGTATCATACGCTTTCGAATACACATTATCTTCCCCTCAATTGAATCTGATGCTATCTCCACCGCTTCACTTCCTACCTTCTCAGTGTGTGGTTGGATATTTATCTTAACTTCAGAGGCGCATTTTAGAATTCAACATTCAACAGGTTCTGGATGTCAAAGTAAATTTAATTTTTAACCCCTTGTGGGTTTAGAGGACTAATAAATATGGTTTGTTGCTCTTATCAGAAGTTCCAGCCTCAGGAGAAGTGGGGAAGAAAACCATGCCTCGGTTAAGTCTGTAGGACTCGGAAGTGGGGGCTAGTTAACTCTGCTGTTGTTTTGGTTACCTAAAAGATAATAAAATCTAAATAAGTTAAATACACAAATATATTAGTCATCATTCTTAGGGGATGCATACAGGCATCATTGAGAAGAGAGTTAACAGCGGCAGTGAAAAAATAACAAGAATGTGAAGCAATTGCCTAAAAACGAGGTTTTCTTTGTTTTTTTTTTTTTTTTCAGTGTAGCTGAACTTGATTTTATGGTATTTGTTTACATACTATTGGTTTTCAATCTGCCACAAAAGTTCTCCCACAAAAATTCCCCTATGAATAGAAAAGTAGTGTTTAGATCTAGTTCTTTTTGGTCAGGACCGACAGCACATGTGGCTGATTCCACACGCTGTGTCTGTTTATTTACATCATTACACAGGGGAGACTTCCCTTATGCGAGTTTATCTCAAGGCACTAATCCTGAAGGAATTAAAAGGATATCTGAAAATGTTAAAGATTGGCAAACAGGGAATTATAGAAGAGGAAAACTTTGTAAAGTTTTTTAAAACCCGTGTTTTTAGATATAGGAAATGTAGCTAGGACAACAGTACCATGGAAATGCTTACCAGTGACCCAGTTACCATCTCCTCCACCTCCTCCCTTGGGTTGGGAGTCTGGGGGGCACAGGACTGTACAGTACCCCTCTCTCTCTTATCTTGTTTCTGATATTATTACCATGAAATATGTAATAACATCTTTATCCTTCCCAGATAGGGAAAAAAAAACACTGGCTTTGAAAAGTTACAGGCTATAATTGAAACTATCCTTTAATTGGGGCCAAATAAAGAAATTGTTGAAACTTTATCAACCAGCGATAGCTGGTTATAGGTTTTATTGCAATTTCTGCAGTGTCTTTGGTCTGAGTATGTTTTTACCACGTTTTAACCCAGACTCAGTGATTTCATGACCTTTAAATGAACATTATAGAACACCTACATGTAAAAGTACTGGGGTTCTCTACACCTGCCCTTGTTCCCAAATAATGGCATGGAGACCTTTATATTTATTGATCAGCTCCAGGCACTATAGCTGACAGATACTCGTCTATTCTAACCCGACTATGCTCGCCTGGGCTGCTTCACAGCCACAGGGCATTACCTGTTACCTTGGTTTCTCTCTGGCACTTCTTCAGTCACCTCATAGTGACTCCCTGGCCCACCTGAGACCCTCTCTTTCCCTCTCAGGGCACCGATGTCCTGCTTTATTCTCTCCTGCCCAGCTATAGGCTTATCAGCTCTTTGTTGACTAATCAGAAGAAAATGGAGAACAATGTTTTACAAAATATTGAATCAGGAAATGCTTCATAATAATGACAGTCTCAAGTCCAGACTGCAACCAGAGCTCCTGGTACAGAAATCAGCAATTGAATACCCAGTGCACAAAACCATCCCCCAGCACTTACAGGATGTTCATTTCCGAGGTGATTGCCTTTGTTTTGTTTTGCTTTTTTTTTTGGTTAACTTTTTATTGATTCTTTGCGGATTTCACATCATGAACTCAATCCCACTCATCTCCCTCTCCCCTCACACCCATCCTCTACCCTTGCAACCTTTCCTGCAACAGAGGAAAAGAAGTCTCATTGTGGAAGCTGTAGTGTGTCACAGGTGTCCCACGGTGAGCTCTTTTGTTCACGTATTTTGCTCACAAATGCTCATTGTAATGACTCTAGTCTGGTACGCAAGGCCTCTGGCTTCTACTGCTTTGTCAACACTGAAACGTCCCTGTGATTCCTCTTGGATATCCTGTTGTTGCCTGTGTCATGGAGATCCTGAAGTTTTAGATCAGTAGGACTAGTGAAGGGGTAGATGTTGAGATGGGCCAATTCAATACCCTAGACCTGAACCCAAGAGCTATCTGAGCTGGTCAGCCCTCCTGCTCTCCCATGTTCACACCCTCGGGGCCGGCTCACCCATACCCCTGCAACCAGGGTCAGATCTACTGTGATACCCAGGCAAGAAACAGGGCCCACTCTCCTGACTGCAGCAGCAGGTGAGGGTCAGCCAGATCTCCCATCTGCCACAGATGGTAATGGGGAAGGGGGAGGGGGAGGAAAATTATCTCTTCTTCATCTATGCCATCACTAGGAAGATGAGTATCAGAGCCAGCTCTCCTCAGGCTGGCTCACCATCAACTCCTGCGGTGTGTGGGGCTGCTCTCAGGTACTGTAGCTGGCTAGTGGTGGGGTCAACTCTCCTGCTTCATACCGCCAGGACCAGCTCTCCTAGGATGCCCAGGTGAGGGGTGGGCATTATGCTTCTGCATTATGGCTCCAGGCAGGGTCTCTGTCCACCTCAGCCTGTGTGGCATGGGACTGGTGGTCACCTCAGGCTAGACACCTGTCTGGGCCCCATGGTGCTAGTCTGGTGGTTGTCTCTGACTCGCACTCCTCTGAGCCCCCTCTGGGCCTGCCCAAGTGGCCCCATGTGAGGGTCATCTGTCTCAGGCTCATTCTTGCCCAGGGCCCGTGGTCCCTGGAAGGGCTCTTCTAGTCTCCAGCTCACTCCCACCTTGGGAGCCCATCAAGGCTTGTGAAGCATCAGACTGGTGGTCGTCTCAGACTAGCTCCTTGTCCAGACATCCTGGTGCTGGACTGGTGGTTGTCTCAGGCTTGCTTTTTTTCAGGGAATACTCATCATTCAGATGTTCACAGGTCAGAACACTGAGCACAGGCACAGCCTCTCTCCTTTCTGCCTCCTCCCGATGCACATGTGACACAGCACCACATCTGCAGAGCCTCTAGGGGCAGGACTGAGATGTCCATAGATATATATTTTATAGGTTTTGTTTTGTTTTGTTTTGAGACAGGGTTTTTCTCTGTGTAGCCCCATCCATCCTGGAACTCCCTTTGTAGACCAGGCTGGTCTTGAACTCAGGGATCTGCCTGCCTCTGCTTCCTGAGTGCTGGGATTAAAGGCGTGCATCACCACACACAGCTTAATTTTTTTAAAATTGTGTTTATTTAATGTATATGAGTGCACTGTCTGCATGTATGCTTGCATGCCAGAATTGGGCATTATAGAACTCATTATAGGTGGTTGCTGGGAATTGAACTCACGACCTCTGGAAGAACAGACAGTGGTCCTAAACACGGAGCCATCTCTCCAACCCCCCAGCTTAGTTTTTATAAATATGTTTTTTATTGGCTGAAATCATATGGGTCATATGGATTGAGCTTTTTTCTCCCTTTTTATATCCCTTTGGGATACCACGAATACCGTGGTTGGCAGAATGACAGTCTATGCCAAGTCTTAGCCTTCACAATTATCTTTCCACATGGCTGAGTTCCAGTAGCCCTGTAGGAGCCATTTCAAATGTTTGCTGTATTCAGATGTCCCTCGCTGGTTGTTTCCAGTCTCCCTTCCTGCTTAGACGCCTTGGGTTGACATTTCCGTCTGTCTTCTACCTCTCTTGTTGACCAACTTCTCTACTAAGAAAAACAAAGCAGACATCTGTAGCCAAGGGCTTTTTCTCAGGCTCTCAGCCTGAGTTCTAATAGCCTCACACTGACCACCATTTATAACTGTTTGGGTTTTTACTAAGCCCGCCCCAGCTTCTGAATAGGGACATGGAGACTTATTTTTATTTACGATGCTTATGGACATAAGTTAAGCTTGTTCCCACTAGTTTGTGATTTATTTATCCCATTTATATTATTCTGTGTCTGCCACAAGGCTACTTAAACTCTCCTCAGTTTCATATGTCCATCTTCCTCTAAGTCCAGGGGTTCGGGGTGGGAATCTTCCTGGGTCTGACTCTATCCCAGAGAGTTCCTCTCTTTCTGCCAGATGTCCAACTTTCTAATCCTTCCTTAGCTTATTGGCCACCAGATTTTTATTGACAGGTGATGCTTCCACATAGTACACAAGAGATTCTCTCTACAGACACCCTGGGACTCACCTCTGGAGTGGGCTGAAGAGGGCAGGACCAGCCTATCTTGCATCTGTCTGTTTAGAACCCCATTGTTCTAAATGTCCTAACCATTAACAAAGCAATCTGAGTGAACGTGTTGAGGAGTTTAACGTGCCATCTCTATCAGAAATAATTGCATTTCTAATAAAGAATCCCTGTAGACGTGCAACCCTTAACTCAAAGACAATCAAGGCAAGGCACAGGAGGAGCCGGTAGCCCTTCCAAGTCTCACCTTGTGGATGTTGTTTGGTACCTCCTGACACAACCCTGTGCCCACCGCTGATGCACCCTCTTAGACACACCTTTATAGGCGGTTCAGCTGGGTAAGAGTTGTTTGTTTGTTTGTTTGTTTGTTTGTTTTGGTTTTTTGAGACAGGGTTTCTCTGTGTAGCCCTGGCTGTCTCGGAACTCACTCTGTAGACCAGGCTGGCCTCGAACTCAGAAATCCACCTGCCTCTGCCTCCCAAGTGCTGGGATTAAAGGTGTGCACCACCACCGCCCGGCTAGGTAAGAGTTTTTATGCTTCTACATCACAAAAAACTCAGATGTAGAGTTCTGAAACCCCAAATTGTGAAAGTTTTTCAGAATGTGCTCCCCTTTGGAGCATGAGATTATTTTATACGTGCAGGTACCTGGAGGCCTAATGATGTGGTTATCTGCAGTCTTTAGTTACAATATACAGAAGTTAATTTCAAAAAATTTATCTCCTAAATCATCAACATTTAGCGTCACGTAATGATTCTAGTAGAAATACTTAAATGATATTTCTATGACTTTTCCCAAAATGTATGGAATATTATTTTTCTCTTACTACTTCTTGCTCAGTATCTCAGCTATCATCTACTCTCTTGACTATAAATCAGTATCTTGTGAGATACTATCATGACTCTCAACGATTTATTCTTATTTTTAGTTCGCCTACTTACATTTTGTGTCTGTCCTTTGTGCTGCCCAAAGGCTGCTGCTCCTTGCTTGCTGCCCTTTAAGTTTCTGTCCTGTTTTCTATTGTACACAAAGAACAGCTTGCTTCTAATCCTTTGGATTTACAACCCCGGTAGCTGAGTTTAATAGGGCCGTGTGCATAACGCGAGCATGTGTATTTTGCTCCCCGAGTACTTCTCTCTCCTCAGAGTTAAATATATGAATTTCAACAGGTTCAACATTTGGGTCATTGATCTTGGTTCTACAGCTTTTAATTTTATTTACAATGCAATTATACTTGAGTTATTCTTATTTTTTATTTATAATTTTTAAGTCATGAACAGAATTTCCGTATATTCTTTGATTGATGCATTTCTTCAATGAGATGAATTCCTACATATAGTCTATACTTATTTTATGCATGGGAGACATCTTCCAAGTCCTTCGGATTTATCACTGCACAAAGAAAGAGGCCCTTGCTTTCAGAGAGCTTATTTTCCTCACAGAGAAAAATAGATAATGGTCAATAAGCGTAATGACACTATAAATGACTATTTATGTTAAACACTATATGCTTTATGGAAGAATCAAAACAAAACACATCTTTGCTGATCTTTGATTCCCTGAGAGAGGCACAGCTGAGAAGTTCTCCTGGCATTCCTGTTGGCCTTGGTCCTTTCTGCTGACTCTGAAGTCTGGCTGTCTCTGTTAGGTAGTGCCACCGCTACTGATTCCTGTTTGTTATCCCGACTCTACTGAACTAGACTATTGGTGTATCTGTAATGTGTTTGCAAGTGGATCGAGCTGCTGACCTGTGAACTGAACTGACAATTACCAAACAGAGATGGGAGTTACTCTAAAAAACCTTTCTAAACAGGTCTACTTCCCCCATATTCTTTCTTTCCCACTAAAAAAGGTGGTGGGCTAAAAGGGAGGTTAAAGAGTTTAAGAATCATCATTAAAAATAAGATTTAAAAAATTAAAGTAACACCCAGTAAGAGAAAGGAATGCTGGTGGGGGTGATGGAGATTGTAGTATTAGTGCAGTTAGGATAGGGTTCATCTGGAAGGGGTTTCTGCAAAGAGGTAGAGATTTGAACTAAGCATAAGAATTCACAACAATAGAAATAGCCAGGGTTTTAGTACATAGATTTCTCAAGGACCAGCTGGAAACTGGATGTCTTAGTCAGTGTTCTGTTGCTATGAAAACAACATGACCACAGCAGTAATTGGGACTTACTTATAGTTCAGAAGTAGAGTCCTTTGTCGTCATGGAGGGAAGCATGGTGGCATGCAGGCTGACATGGTGCTGGAGAGGTAGCTTGAGAGTTCTATATCCTGATCCACAGGCAGGAGAGAGGGAGGGG